TCTTGAATTTGAAATGTGACAATACATTCTACCGATCGATGACACATTCTGAGGATTCTGTTTCTGTCAAATTGATGCTTTTCCTTTATTTTTCTCTAACCACCTAAATTAATAGCTCATTGTCAATGTACTTTTATAATTTTTACACGTCTTTAAAATAATAATAATAATAATAGAAAGAATTGCTTCAATCCAAATTGGATGACCTCAATCCAAATTGGACATGCTACGCAAATATAAAAGTAATTAATATAGAGTTTAACATAATACATACACAAAAGATCATGTCGATTTACACATAACATTAATTTTAAAATCAACTCCTCTCCTCGCACATGAATTATTTCGACCTTTACGTCCAAATATTATGTTGAAGTAGCATTATTCAATTAAATTTTAGGTGGATCGACTAGTAATACTTTTTATAGCAACTATTATCCGACATGTGCATTTGTACAAATATAAATAAAGTATTGTGAGTTATTTGTATACATATAATGATTAATGATTTTTCTTACACGTTTTTTCAGGCCAAATTTACAATTAAAGGAGATGGAATATTTATTTTTTTAAATTACGTTTATCATATTGGATGTAATGTATATTTTGGTAAGTATTTTTTTTGTGAATTATTTATTATTTATTTAGGAATTTTAAATACGTTTTTTATTTTCTAAAGAAGTTAATTTAAATGTAACCACAACAATAACATCTAATCACGTTAAATAGTCAACACATTATATGGTCAGCTGTAATAAATCAAAAGTTTAAATGATTTTTGTAATTTTGAAGTAATTAGTGTGTTGATTATTTAATAATTAAATAAGAGGTTAAATAAATAAAAAGTAACGGTTTTTGAAGGGAAAAAGTTATATTGCTGCATAGGTATAATTTAATAAGTTTTATTAAATGTTAATGAGTCATTAATTATATATATATATATATATATATATATATATAGATTTGTTATATGAGTCGACTTACGCGTTAGGTGATGAATTGATCGGTGATACCTTTATAGCAAAAAATATATATTTATATTATAAAATACTAGTACGTAACCCGTGCGATGCACGGGATGTAAAATGTGGAAAAATAATATAATCTCACGTGCATTAGGATCGAAATTGAAATCATTAAAATATATAGGAACATTGTTGAATCATAAAAAGTTCGGTAACAATCATAAATTATTAAAAACCTCCTTGTACACAACATTATGAGTTTGATTATTTGGTAACTCCTCATTATCACAATTTTCAACCCCCTTCTATTATTTACACGCGAAGCAGCAACATATAATTGGCCGTGACTAAAAACGTGTTTATTCAAGAAAAGACCAACGTGCGATAAAAAAAGAGTTTTTAAAAATTGAAAAGTCAAGTCAATCAGTTCAGATTAATTAAAGGTCAAAGAATATCCGCTCCTTGAAATAAAGACGTGTGCTATCATTAACCAAATATCCGGTTATTGATATAGAGTGGTTACCAAAAATTAGAACGCGATAAGGACGCTTCATGGAAATATCAATAGGATAAGGTCATAACAGATTGCTATACATTTTAACGATAAAAGCTCATATGGAATGATTTAATTAGATGTGTGAAAAAGACATAATTAATGAGAAGTGTGAAAGGACAAAAACTTACCGGTTTTGGAAAATATTTAATGCAAATCCGACATTGACCATAAGTTGACCTACTATTTTTGATAAATGTTAATTCTTATTATATAAGTATAGATTATATTATTATTTATTTTGCTTTTAAGAGTGTTGTATATATAACAAATGTATTACTTTCTCACCAGTAGCCTTAATAATAAACAGTCTACTCTTTTAGTTAGCAAATTTCATATCATTTGCTATTTATTACACTTGCCGTAGGATTTTAGTGTGCTGGCTTTGTTATACGTGCATTCCATCTATCTATTTTATCAAAACTAGTACGCTACCCGCGCGTTGCGCGGCTTAATATTAAAAATGATGTGAATGAATGGTAATTTAATAGAAAAATATTTTAGAATACATCTATAGATATAACGTAGACTAAATTTTTTACTAATCCAATAAATATACTTCCACAAATATAACATTAATATAGCATTAATTGTAAATGAGTTGTGTTCATTATCACCAACAGTAATAACAATAATTAGACAACATGGATTCGTGACTATAGAAACAATAACAACGTATAATTGTTGTAACTAAAAAATTCAATATATTTTTTTCTTAAAATTTTAAAAATTAAATTCATAAGCTTACAAAAAAATGTGATATACTATAAAAAAATTATTTGTCACATTAATGACACTCCTTGATAATTTTTCATAAAAATATCTACATGATAACATAATCCCATAGGTACAAAAAGATAAAGTCATAATTACTATTCTACAAATAAAGTAGTATATTAATAATTAAAGTTAACATGTTACAAAGATGAGTAAATCAAAATTTATAAATATAAATTAAATACTTAATAAAAAATAAAAATAACTTCTATCCGCATGTATTTAATTTTAAAATTAGGTCCACATATTTTGCACTTTTTTATTAACAAAATAAATATCAACATTTCAAATTTTTTCGCAAAATAAGTGTGATGGTGATTAGAGATTGACATGGAAGATTGATCATTTTTCGTAAAGTTATAAATAGACCAAGTAATTGCACAAATCAATGTGAATTACAATTCAATGTAATTTTTAGAAACGCACATTGACAAATTTTTTGTAAAGTAATAAGAAAAAGACATTTAAATTATATTATATAATATTAAAAAAAATATTCTTGTGAAATTAACATTGTGATAGATGATAAGGAAAAAGTATTTGATGCATTATAATAAGTTTTGTTTAACTTTATCTACTACAACATTCAGTTGCGATAATATGCTTCTATTCAGAAAAAATAAATGGTAACTGACACATTATGCTATTTTTATTTATAAACAGCATTATTGTGTATTTATTAAAAAAAAAAATAAGGGAGGTCAATTTTTACCAACTTTTACATAACCTCAAATTTAAGCTCAAATAAAATAGATGAAACAAATAACTATCGGATCAAAATATTCGATCAATAGAATCATTTCGTCTTCATAGTCAAAACTACAATATCACCTTTTATCTCTTTTGTTGTTGTTGAAATTCTCACTCTTTCTGTCATCATTTTCTAAAATTTTTCATTTCATAATATTCTTATATTGCTTACCCATAAATGAAACTAAATTAGATGTTATGTCTGAACACTAATAAATCAATTACCTTTATGTTGTATACAAACTATGAAAATAAATGTTCACCTCATTGTACAAAATACAAATTTATGTCTATACTAATCAATTATTTTTATGTTGTACACAAACTATGAAAATAAATGTTCACCTCATTGTACAAAAAAAATTTATGTTTATACATATTGAGTTATTTTTTATTATATACTTTAAAGTTGTAATTTTTATTTTCATAATATTATATTAAGAAAATAATTAAGATGATCACTGTCAATATTAAATAAAAAAATATATTATGAAATAAAATAACCAAAAGTATGAAATTTAGAAGTCTAAGATCGCATTTTTGTTAAAAAAGAATGACACGTTGACTTGACTAAACCTTACTCCAGCTCATATAAGAGTTTGTGAATGATTAGACTTTCTATAATTTATATTAAAATATATTGTTTACGAATGAGGTGCTCAAATCAAATAATTTAATGGTTACTTGTAATTTTTTAGAATTAGATAGAGATATAAAATAATATAATATTAGATTAATAAGAGATGATTACATATTTTATTAACGTGTACGTAAATTTTATCATATTAGAGTATATGTGTCAAACGTGACATGATGCTACTATTAGATATTTATATATAAACATTGAACGTGTGTATGTTAAAATAAACGATATTGAATTTTAAATTGACATATCGAATCTAAAAGTTTAGCTATATATATGCAATATAGATACCAAATTAAAAGTTATAAAAATATTTATTTATTATATTACATGCAGATATTGTATTAGTTATGATTTTTTCTATTTTACCTTGAAATATTTCGAATATAACCAAAAAGATTAATATTATGTTTGATGTTCCAAAATAAATCAAAATAGATATAAAATGATTTTAAATAAAAATTTTACTTTAAATATTATTTTAATGATTAATTAAATGAGATTGATAATTTATTTTTATAAGAAAAAAATATAATATATAAGGAAAGGAACTCATACTCGCAAATGGGAAGAGAGACAAATAATAAGTGGGATATTGGAATGAGAATTCATAATAAATAATTATGTATAGTATTAAATATTATTTGTAACAAATAATTATGTCACTCACAAAGCATAAAAATATTTAACGAAAATTTGTACAATTATTGATTATGACTAAAATAAGTATTTATTTGTAACAAATAATTATGATATTATTTGAATGATAAATAATACACAGAAATTAACAAAATTTATTTCATGGTCATAAGTAGTTGAAGCATTTATTTAGCCAAGAGAAATTGGAGTGCAAATTCCAATACAATTATGAAAACAAATTAATTATTCATATCTAACAAATATTTTTTTATTGATAAATCATGCATAGGAATTGATAAAAATTTATTTCAATGTAGTAAATGTAGTTTTTGATGAAAATTTTACATAAAAGTTGGTAATATTTATTTCTAGTAATTAATATAGTTTTGGAGGGAAAATTCCAGCTACTTCAGTTTAATATATATATAGATTTCCCCAAAAAAAAAAAAAAAATTTCATCCTAGCTAGTCTGTTGGACTTTTAAATACTAGTAATTCTCAACTTCTAACAGCAAGTCATTTGGGCATCGGTATACCAATAGGCAATAAATAGCATACATGTTATAACTTTACCGAAAAAATAAAATAAAATAAACAACATCAGCAGCAGAAGAGATAATTAGCAATGATTAATCAATCACACACATACATAACACAAGCTAACAACAACAACATCAACAATAAAACATGAGCTTCCTAACACTCTCACTCAGCCTCGGCAAAGGCGCCACCTCCGGCGCCCCCGCCCGCGACACCACCCCACCACCACCACCGCAACTCCCCGAGCCCTCCGCCGCCCTATCCGCATACAGCCTCCCCCTATACGCCGCCAGGTGCGCATAATAAACCGGCGGCACCACCGACACCGGCCCCGTACACCTTACAAACGTATAACACAGCCCGTAAACCAGCCTCTGCACCTCGTCCGACGTAAACCCGTTCTCATCCCACAGCACACAGTACCTCACCGGCCTACTCGTCCCCCTCGCCCCCCAATGGCTACACAGATAGAAATCGAAACCCCCCGCGGGCCCCACCACCTCGCTGTCCACCACCGTCCCTGGAGGGACGTTTTCGTCATTCCCGGGGAATAATCTCGTGTGGTGCCTCTTCTGCACCACCACGAACGTGATCCGCGGGCCGTAACCCCCGCGGACCGCGGCACATGCCTCGCGGATCTGACTCAGCTCGTCTTCTAGAACCTTCCGGAACTGGGTCTCGCTGACCCCGTCCCGGAAGAAGACGATTCTTTCCGGAAGTTTCGAGACTTCTCGCGCGAAATCTTCGAGAATCTCCCTCACCATCGCGGCGAGATCCTTTATGATCTCGCGCCGGTGGGTTTGGGACCTCATTCTCGAGACGTAACGGTTCGGGGCCGGCCAGTTGAGGCTCCCGACCACGGCGGCCACGGAAGGGCTAAAATCATCCGAGGGGTGGGGGTGGGTCACGTCGGCCCCCATGAAGATCGATGGCTCGTGAAAACCGAAGATCCTCGGGATTTCCGAAGGGATCGGGTCGTGGAGGGCCACGGTCGATCCCCCGACTTTAGCATTTATCTTAATGGCCAAGTTTGACAGAAACTGAGACCCCATTTTCGAAACGTTTGAATACAAGCAGCACTGGCTCACGAACCCGACGCCGGTCTCGGCTATTCGCTTCAAATCTGCGTACCCTCGGTGCTTTCTCTCCATCACGCACACGAGGAGTTGGAGTTTTCCGAGGGCGGCTCGGTGGATTTGGCGCAGTTTGGCTTCGAGAAGCTTCGGGTTTCCGAGGACGTGCATGGGCTCGAAGACGGGAGGGATGACGGTGTTTTTGCGGAGGGAAATGCCGAGCTGCTCGCACCTTTGGGAGAGGCGGTTTACGAATTTCGGCACGGTGAATTTGTGTTCGCGGATCCCGCCGAAGCTTATGACGGCCCAGCGCTCGACGTGGGTGCCCTCGAGGACGTGGCTTTCGAGAAGATTCCATTGCCGGTCGTGTCGGTAAGGGGTTAGATTCCTTACGTGGCCGGTGTTTCCGAGCTTGAGCTTCGGGGGATCGAGAATCCTCCCGGTTAGTTTCATCATTTCAGTTGATATATCGAGCTTGAAATCTCTTCCTTGATGGCCACTGTTAGAGAAAAGAAAAGAAAACAACTAAGCCGAAAACAAGCTAGGATTTAGTGCAAATTTTTGGGGGGAGAATGATGTTTGAAGTACTTTTGAGTAATGAAATTTTACCTTGTCGGCCCGAATTGTCCCTCCATAACACTATCGATGATTTTCTTGCGCTCTCTCGGCCTCTGACACCCCATTTTGAGTAATTTCACGGTTTGGTCGTCCGAGAGCTTGCCGAGAAACTTTTGCCCCTCGCAAATCGCACAAAGCTCCAAGGGAAGATAGCAAGGCCTCCGCCTGCTGACCTGTAAACAAGGCAAATTCGTGTACCGCATGTCGTATTCGTAATGATCCTTAAAATAGCTCACGAGTTTTAAGCTCGTCCCATCTTTATCCGTAAACCAAAGATTCTCCGTAGTCTCCTCCGTCAGGCCGTAGACTCGATACCTCTGTAAAGTTTCTCGATGGCTAACAAAGATTCTCATGTTCTTTAGAACTTTCTCGATTTCTTTTCTCTCTTCACCGGTCAAAATCCTCGAAGTGTTTTGAGAAACGATATCGTGCATGAAATCGAGACGCTTTTTCAAATAAGGTATCACCCCAATACTCTCGTGAAAGGCTGTGACAGAGAAATCCACGTTGAGAGTGAGGCCTCGTTGAGTTGGCCTCAAGCTTTGGAAAAACCCTCTAAGTGCTATAGCCCCTCCCCCAATCTCCTTTGCTCCTCCCATTAAACTCGAGTAAAACGATTGGCCGTTGGATAAGCACTTCTCATTGGGGTTCTCACGCAAAACGACATCTAATGCATGGATATACTCTTGAGGGAGGTGATGATTACAATCAGAATCATAACCCTTGAACTCGAGCTTGGACACAAGCTTGATATTCACACGGAAAATCTTGTCATGCCTTTTTTTTTCCAAGGATTCTGAGATTTTCTCGACCGGGAGGCTGACGTGGAACTCGAGCTTCTCGTTTTGGAACTCGATGGGGCTGTAAATAGTCCTTCGGCCGTCATAAACCGGACGCGCATTTGATAGCTTGTCTGGATTCTCTTCAACTAGCTTGCGCTTTATCAGTCTTGCGAGCTCTTTTGACGGATTCGGGTTTATCTCGACATCGTATTGGAAGATTTTTTGAGACGGGTCGAATTTGACTAAGAAATGGTTGGCAAGAAGGGTGATGGGCCTGCCTTCAATCCCACCGGAATCTGGTCTTTTAGCAAGTGGATATGATGAATCTGGTTTTGGAACTATAATGTTTGTGGCATTTTCCTTGTCACTTGGCAGGCATATTTTCTTTTCCACCTCTGCCAAAGAAAGTGAAAGAAAACCATTTCAGGAACTAGCAAAAACAGTTTAAAGTTACTAATGATCTATTTATAAGGTTAACTAATAATTATAGAAAGAACCCTTTAAACCTACAGTACAGCTTAATCATACAAGAAGCCATAAAAACATCTATAGTTTGGCAATTGTTTTTATTTTACAGCAGTTAGGCAAATACAATATGCAAGGATTGCTGAATTTCTTTTTGAACTGCTACAGTATACCTTAAGGCATAAATTCAATCTTGTCTTTAAGACTTAAGATTGTGTAACAAACATCTTCAACTACATAAAAAGGCAAGAACTTGCCCTGTGTTTTTCACAACAGAAAACATGCTACAAAACAAGAGCTACAAAACAATAGTTAAATAACTATTGCTTGATGAATAAAAGATAACAAAACAATCTCACAAGATTCTCATGGGCAATGCAAAAACAAGATAATCCACAGTCCAATCAAGAGAGAATGCTATAATTAAGAAATCCACGCATGAACAAGAAGTAAAAATCAAAACTTTAAACCAAAAAAAAAAAAAACCTCGAGACTTGGAATCAGAGGGAGGGGCAGAAATGAAATTATCCCGTCTTCTTGGGGCCATTTTGAAATGGGCTCTCGATTGGAGCATCTGATTAGGAGAAAAATATGGAGATACAGCAGGAGGCAAAGGGAGCAGGCCCTGAAAGATTTGGTATTGATTATTGCAGCCGAGCCCATAAGGATTTTGCAGCAGGTGGTGGTGGTGATGGTATTTGTAGGTATTTGCATTTGGAGCCCCTCTGAAAAAATTTCTTGCTTTTGGAGTGCATTTTGTTGGGTTTGTTTTGGTGGGTTCATCTTCATCCGCCATGGCTGTGTGTTGTTGGGGTGTGGGGAGAGAGAAGAAGGAGGGCTATTTGCATGAAAGGGAAGAGAAGAAGGGTATAAAAGATAAAAGCTGCAGTTAATGCCAAAGATTCACAGTGACTCAGACAATTTTATTCTCTTTTTGAAGTTCTTTTTTTATTTCCTTTTTGCAGTACTCTGTGCTGCAGCTGCTTGAGTTATTGTTCTGCTTCTGCAAGCAAAAGAGTGGAAAAAAACGTGAGATTTGGATATAGACCGGGACGCGTTGGCCCTGACCGGCTTGAGAGAGTTTAAATAAAATTTGTAATAAAATTAGGTTTAGTAGGTTTTAGGTTTAAATTTTTTATAGATGAAAGACTGAGAAAAATATCAAAACTGTTTTAGGATTAAAAAAAAGTTAATTAACGAATATCTCTTACCGTGCATCGCACGAGATTCGTACTAGTGTATTTTACAAAAGGTACAATATATTAGTGCATGATTTTTAAGTGAGTGCATGCGATTCAAATTAAACTAGAAATAAGTGGGAATTTTCCACAAATTAATCTAGCTACAAACAAAACAACTTAAATCATGATACATTTAAAATAATAAAATGAAAAGATCTCTCATGAGTTTGTCTCATGAGAGACACAAAACATCCATTAAACACAATCAACAAACTCATCTTATACTCTATTTTATTGTAAAAACAACAATATATTATTTCCGAAAAGTGTTTGTTATCTAAATGGAGTCCCGAGTTACCCAAATCATGGGCAATCAAAAAACCGTGATCCAAATTTGACAATAATGCTAAGAAGCCAATTGTTGGCTCCATATCATTACTGCTAGATTTGATTCTTCAAAAAAGAAATTTATCTGTTTTCCTGTTCCTAAGTTTTAGCAAAATATCATTGTAATCCCACCTCTCTTTTATAGCTATTATCATTTTTGGCTTGCCTTTTTCTTGACACGGCCTGTTTAAATTTGGTGGACTGTGGAAGGGGAAATTCATGCACTTGGAAATTGGCCCCCCTCATTTTTCAATTATTTTAAATTTATACACTTAAGTACTTGTTTGGAGTTTGGTCGAGGACAAAATGATTAGCCTAAGGCCTTGGATTTTTTTTCAACTTTTGTGTTAAAATTTTGGAGTTGGACCACATCACTGTCCATCTTGGCCATATGTCTTTATATTTGCAATTAGGTCAATTTGTTGAACCAAATATTACAATTTTACAACCACGTGGTGCGATTTGGTTGGCCGATTTGTCTATTTAAAATTATCTATCTTGTTTTTACCTAAAGAATTGGATTGGATTGGTTTTGATTCTCAACAAGGATTGTGGCCAAACACATGGCTAACACCGGAAATTAGGTGCACTTTCTCTGTAGTAATGATGATTAAGTAAAAAAAGTAGTTCGCGATGTGGATACTTAAGTTGAACATAGCTTAAATTGTTTTGGTAGTTATTATGAGAAGCAGATACACCACTGTTAAATTAACATTTTTTNATTGTATTGTTAAATAAAATTTTATAACTCAAAATTTAGAGTACAAATACATATTATTTTATAGTGTGAATATATGTTTTTATTTAGAAAAAAAAAACATGGTAAATCAAGTCAGCCATTCATAATATCGTTGCACTATATATAGCCGTCATAAGAAATGCATTAGGTTTGAGTTCTGAGTTCTTATATGGTGAAGTTGAATGGACATTTGTAAAGATAGCCGCTTTTAATTAATGAGCATTTGTAAATATAGGAGCGGACAAAGCTAGGTATTGAATTTGAACAATAGCTTCCAACTTGTTCAGTCTTTTAAAACGGTGTTTGGTAGAGGAAAGAGATTTTAACAAAAAAGAAAATGAAGGGATGTGTAAAGATATAAAATTTGCTTGTTTGGTTTGGTCTTTAAGCATGAATTTGGAAAAAGAAAGGTAAATCTTATTTTAAAACATGCTATAAGTACGTTTCTATTCAAGTAAGAAAAACTATTTTAACATAATTCTTTTACATTATGGATGATATAAATGGTATGTAAATATAAGAAATATTTATTTTAAAATTTATATATTGTATAAAGACATAAAATCTTAACATGTATGTATTACGTTAACCATTATGTTACTGGTTACTGTAGCTAGCACCATACGTCAACCATTATGTTGCTGGTTATTGTAGCAAGCACGATGATGGTGTCCTACCAAATAATCTCGATTTTTAGGTAACCGGACCTCTTCGGACTTCAGGTTGATGAACTTGGTGACCCGATCGTCTAAGATGGAATTGTCAGTGACGTAACTGGCGATCTGAAAAACAAGGGCTGAGATGTGCTCCCGGCCTTAGCACTCTGACGACGATCAAGTTAGTATGTGGATGAGAAAGGAGAATATTCAAGATATCAGATGAAGAAGAAGGGCTTAATCATACCTCAGTCCATATTTATACTGTGATTACCTTGATGCCCAATTAATTGTGTCTTGGTGCCCAATAATTGCTCGAACGTATAACAGGTTCCCTCAACAGCTATTAGGAAAACTATCTAAGATTCGTCCTTATCCCTATGGTTGTGCTTATCTTGATGTGTTCGCACCGTTGATGCTCCTCTTATTCTTCCGTCTACTCTACGTCGAGGTGCATCTCACGATTCATCTAGGTCTTCAGGTCTTGATGTCAGTCCACCTTTAGGTAACAGACTGAGGTAGGATCGAGCTACTTAGGTTGGTCGACCAATCTAGCTCACCCTTGCTAGGTCGAGTGGTAACATTGAGGATCTTAGGTAGTCACCTAAGTGAGGTAAGCGTCATCGTAATAGACTGCGACCTAGTAACTTGGTCCAGTCGAGCTAGTCTTGTGTATAGTTGTATTACTAGCTATATCACACTATCATTCATTCTGGTGAATTAATTAAAATTTGTGTTGTTCATAACCCGTGAGTGATAGGCGTTGACAATTTGGAAATTTTCAGTATTACTAGCTATATCACACTATCATTCTGGTGAATTAATTAAAATTTGTGTTGTTCATAACCCGTGGGTGATAGGCGTTGACAATTTAGAAATTTCTTGATTGAAAGAATAAGTTAAAAGTTAATTTACATAAATATGACTGAAAGTTAAACTTTATCAATTAATAATTACTGTTATAGTTAAATTTACCAAATATATTATTCATAAGCTAACAAAAGAGACAATTATCAGCTATAAGCTACTGCTCATTCAAACATCGACTAAGACTGATTTTTATACATAATCTACGACACGAAGAAAGAGTTTGTCAACTTTAACTGCAACCTTGAAAATATTCAAGTATAGTATATAGTCATGCTCTCTTGTTCACACTGAGCACGACTTAATTTGTCCATTAACTTATTTGGTTAAATTTTTATATCATACACGTAGACACATTTGGCACATCTGAATGTGTCTACGATGAATAAAGGAGCAGTTCCGATATAATATATACATTCATTATTCACTTGGTCGTAATCTACCTATCATATTTTCCAGTTGTTTTAATGAGTAGGGGTGAACAAAACTTGGCATAAACAAAACACAAGTCGCACCTTGCAATTTGTTGTAATTCGGTTATGTTATTTTAGCATGAACAATTTCTGTTTGGTTTCAGTTATATTTTTTTATGTGTTGCAGTGAAATTCAATTATATATTTTTATAAGTTTTGGTTTTNTTTCTTTTTTTTTCAAATTTGGTGAAGTTTTGCACGAATTGAATTCAAATGCAGAGGAACCCAAAATTTAAGCCAAACCGAGCAATTTCGTGCTACCCTGTTCAATTATTTTTAGTGCATAAAGTTTTTTATTTGGTTTCAGTTCAAATTTTTCTCTGTTACGGTGCGATTCATTTAAAAATTTTAATTGTTTGGTTTGTTAAGATATTGCACCGAACTGCACCAGTACCCCCTCCTAATTTATCATTTTATTAATGAGTAATATGAATTTTAACATTTATTTTTTTAATACCGTTTATTGTTGGTTAAGTGGTTTCTAATTAAAATTTGAATCAATAAAAAAATTTATCACATTTGACAATTCAAAAATTTAAATACAAAAGTTGCTTTTAAAATGTAAAATACTACTTTTCATCTTATTTTTCCGAACCATTGTGCCTCGGTAAGTTCGAGTTCCTATTCTTCTCTATCAAGATCATGTATTGAGCCAATTAATCATTGAGTTTGAATTTGTTCAAAGCTCGTTTGTAAACAAGTTCAGTTCATCTTGCCTCGTTAAAAATTGGATATAAATTCTTACTTGGTTTTCTATAATTTGACCTATTTGATTTATTAAAAGATCGAGCTCGATTAGTTAATATTGATAAACGAGTTAAACTCGAACTGAATAATTCATTTAGTTAATGAGTCATTTTAAATCAACTCGATAAAAGTTTGAGCTTGACAGGATTGATTAGGGCTCGAACTCGAATATCAAGAGTTCGAACTCAGCTTGGCTGGTTAGTGGCGAAGACAAGCATTGGATGTGGTGACTGGGAGGTATATAATTGAGATCACAAATGAATATATATATACATATATATATATATATATATATATATATTAATAATAATAATAATAAATGTAAAAAAAAAAGTTGAATTGAGCAAGAGGGGAAACTATTGACCGTTAGATTTCTTTTATTTTATGCTATGGCTCAGATTTATCACACCAGTTATCTGTCCGCCGGACACTGATCATCGCCGGATTGAGATGTCCACCGATTGATCAAAACCGAAAGAGCGCCTAATTATTTTCTCTCTTAACGCAAGGATATAAGCTGGAGTCATCTTTCATGTTTGTTGACTGTAAGTTTATGCATAATCATTTATTTAGCCGTTTGTTTTGCTAATCTTGTTCGTTGAGAAATTGTGGGTTTGTGAAATAATTCTGCTTATGCATACTTGAGTTAAAATCTGTTCCTTGGTGTTTTAATTCTGCTTATGCATACTTGAGTTAAAATCTGTTCCTTGGTGTTTTTCTACTTTCGACTCATTCTTTGAAAATTTTAAGTTACCTTGGCTGTAATATTCTGTGAGAAGATTGAACAATATGGGGGTAGTTTAGAATTTCAGCTCTTAATATTTTGTGTGAAGGCTAAAAATTTTGCTTTAAAATTCATTTATCTAATTTATTGATGTTATAATGTACAATTTGAAAATGATGCTTTGCTGATCAAGGCATCGGCTTCTTTTGCAGTATGTTAATATCCTTAGAAAGTTTTCATTTTTCATCATCAGTTGCTCTGAAAAGCTGATCAGAGAACTTGGGAATACAAAATGTTTGAGGCTGGTGGTAGTTTGAAGTCAAAGAAGATAGTTTTTGTGACTGTTGGAACAACTTGTTTCGACTCTTTGGTTAGAGCCGTAAATACAGAGGAGGTTAAAGAAGCATTGTTCAAGAAGGGTTATACCGATCTTGTTATTCAAATGGGTCGGGGTTCTTACATTCCCACCAAGGTGATTTGGAGCTCTTATGATTGTTTTATCTTTTTTGAATTTGTTGATTAGGTCGTGTTGAAATTTTGATTGGATTTCTGGCATCCAGTTTGGTTCAGTTTCGAAATTTATAATCTGAAAGCCATATTATGTTCTCTGGAGGGGTGGAAAGTGAAAACAGAACAAGAGATTACACATCATTATGGTACTTGAAACCTTGATTTTGAAAACAATGATGTAAAATAGGAGAGAGAATAAGCTTTTGTGATCATATATGCATTTTAGCTCAGCCAAAGGCAGCTTCTTGTAGTTGTTAGCCTGGTGCTGTTATGTATCAACTGCTCACGTTCTTTAATTTTACAAAAGCATCAAATTAGTCAGAGTCAATCTTCTGATGCATCAGTTTCACCAGTACTTCTACTCATGCCTTGTAATCCCATGAACACAGTAGATAAACTGTGTTGCCTCTTGAAATCATTTAAGGTTCCAGTATGTGAGATGCATTAAGAGTTAGTCTTAACCAGCTGAATTCGAAACTCTCTTTCTCTCTCTCTCTCTCTCTCTCTCTCTCTCTCTCTCTTTGGTATAAGTAAAGGCCAAGTCCGCTTATAACCCTGTGAAATGGAATAGGTGGAAATGTTATAAGGTAGTGGTACAAGATATAGTAATGATGTTAGAGTGATAGTTTCTTCTACTGTGTGGAGATGGGAAAGTTACATAAGCACTATTACACGCAACTTATTTCATTGTTACATATGCTTGGCTCCTTTTCAGTTTAATTAGTTTGCTTGCATTAACTTTCAGTTGACCGGAGGAGATGGGTCTGTGTCTGTGGATTATTTTACATTTTCGTCAAGCATAGCTGATTATTTGAAGTCGGCATCTCTTGTAATCAGTCATGCAGGTTGGTTATATTATTCATGCACTGAATATACTTCTGTAAAGTTTCTTTTTTTTCCTCCACAACTCATGTCATCACTTTCATTTTACTCCTTTGGTACTCATCCTGTGAGAAGGTAGGGTGTAAATAAAAAAAGCAAATGATGAGAATTGTGGGTCTCTTTTGCCGAACATAAACTATTCGTGCATATATTATTATTCCTGTTTGAACTAAAGCTCGTGTGTATACATGCCTGCCTTGTATCATTTTATCTGATATGTATTTATTTCCAGGTTCAGGGAGCATATTTGAGACATTGCGACTTAAGAAACCACTAATTGTTGTAGTTAACGAGGATTTAATGGACAATCATCAAAGTGAACTGGCTGAAGAACTAGCTGAAAGAAAGCATTTGTTTTGCGCTCATCCCCAGACACTTTACAACACTATTTCCTCAATGGATTTGGGCTCTCTTGTGGATTATGAACCCGGTGTTGCTACTCCTGTTGCAAATTTTATTAACAGGTTTTTAGGATTCAGTGACGAGTGACAATAAGATAGAAAATTTTCGGTCTCGTGATAAAGGTTTTGGTCAGAGGGTGACTGATGAGAAGATTTTGTATGTCACTGGATTTTGATCTCAATTTTTACCTTCATGTAAGTACTTTTTATACATGTGATAAGCTCTGGTTTTGATTGATCTTCAAATTTCTGCACTCAGAATCACCAGAAATGAAAATGAAGCTACAAAATGAAATGATGTTATCTGGATTCTTGTTTACCTGTAATTCATCCATGTTGATCATATATGCCAAAAATAAATAATAATAATAATAATAATAATAATAATAATAATAATAATAATAATAATAATAATGTCACAACCTGCCAGTGTCAACTCTTAGAAGCCAAAGACAGCCAATATACACCCAAAGGTCCATTTAAGATATTTTCCAGCAAATATCTCAAAACACAGGCAAGATCTTTTTACAAAATCACTCAATCTGGGTCATATATCCCTCATTTACTGTAGATAACTCTAGACCGAAAGTCCAAAACATGATTACATGAACACACTTGTGATCGTCAATTCCTTGCCTGAACATGGAAAATCAACATCTGTCTGAAGAACTATCTGATTGGCAACAAATCCAAGCAAGTGAAAATGAGACTGAAGTATCTGTTTTCCCACCTAGAAATCATGAAAACTTGCCTACTACAAACCCACGGGACATCGATCAACCTTTGCAAGAACAAGAACCGATAAATTCGACAGACAACAACGATGGTGTGGGGAGATGGAAAAGGCTGCGTTTGGAAATGCGAAATGCGATTTTCTGGATTTCTGGAAAGCTCGGAAAATATTTCAGTAGCAAGAAAGTTGGACTACAGTCAATATTTGCGTGGACAGCGAGTGGGATTGCTTGTTTGCTGATGGTTTATCTTTTGCACAGAAGAGTTTTGGTGTGGTGGCAGAGAAGAATGCCGCTTAGCAGTCGCAAGGAGAGGATGATGGAGTTTGTAAGACAGAAAGACGAGGTGCGGACTATAATTTATTACTATTATTATTATTATTTATGTTTCAATCACTTTGGTGAATTTCCAGTGTTTCTTGGAAGATGTTAGCAGTGTACATATTGTCTATTTTCTACAGAAAATCAACCAGCTTTTACTCCAAATTGCCCAAATGAACGAATTTTTACATGCTCGCCGGAGGGTCAAAGTCATTTGGGTGAAATGAGCAGTGGACAAGCTAAAATGAAAAAGCTACAGCAGCACATCAAAAGTACATGAAAAAAAAAAAATGGCAAAATTTTATGAATTCTCTTTGTTCTGTGTCCTTGTTACAAGTTCTGTGTTTCCTGTTTAGGATCAAATGTTTCACTTGGAAATTAGCTGCTAAGCAAAATAGTACTTTTTCTGATATGTGCAATAGTGATTATTATATATAATATTGAATTTTGATCTTCTATTGAATTCTCTATTCATCTGTTTTTACTACAAACGTGATTCTGACATCATTATGCGCATGTAACATTCATCAGAAACAGAATAAGTTTTTCCTGTTGGACTGTGCTACATTTTTTTTTTCCAGATTCATTGCAGATTGTAAACAGATTTTGCACCTATGTAAACATAAAAAAGAGAGAATAAAAATCAACCACTTTTGAGTAGAAATTTCTATTATGCATCTAGTTAGGCTCTAACTTCCTAATGCCGAGAAAGAAAGCAAAAAAAAACTAATTCTAGACACCTTATCACCTTCAAAAGCCGAACATGTAATTCGTTGACTAAATTATTTGGATACAAAGTTGTGATTTTGTCGCGGGAGTTTCTTAGGTTGATATTAGATCTATGATTTACTGATTTCGGGTTTACAAAAATGTGTTCCATTTTAGTTTCCAACTTATTTTGTGAGAGAAATTGAAAGGTAATTTACTGTAAAAACATGATTTATTTATTTATTATTATTATTATTATTTTTTTTCTGTTATATTTGATGTTATGTGTTTGTGAGTTTCTTCCTTATCATCTAACTAATTGTTTCTGTGTATCTATAGGGAAGAAACAATGAATGTCCAAGGAATAGTAATGCATTCTCTGCTTGGATTTTATTATTCTTCTCATATTTGCTTTGGTATTTGAAAAAATTCTGGGTTTGTCTTCATGTGATATACATATTGGTTTTTTGAACAATTTTAAGAGTTAAAGTGATTTGATTATGGTTATTGGTTGTTTTTTTTTTAATCTTATTTGTAGTTTATATTAAGTTTATTTTTGTATTTGTTTTTTTTTATCTATTTATATTGTTATGATTTAGTAAAAAAAATAAATAATAAACTTACGATAAATCAAAACTTTAAAATTTGTTTTAAATAAATATTTAAGAATTGTAATAAACACAAGATAAACTTACAACCATAAACAAAAATTTTATAAGAGAAAACGTAAATAGATTTAAGGTTATAGTAAAGTTGCTTAGTTTACTTATGGTTTATGAGTAGTTTATTTCAGTTTACTTATGGTTTATTACTGGTTTATTTCAGTTTACTTATGGTTTATGAGTAGTTTATTGTACACATATTTTTATAATAGAGCATGTTTCGAATGATATCACTAGTTTGCTTATTTACTGTTTATGAATGGTTTATTTTAGAAGTGCATGTATGAGCTATTAGTTATGTGCTTTTTGTTTGGTGAGATGAGTGACATGATGGGGTTGAAGAAATATTATTAAGTTGGATTATTGATATTTTATTTGGTGTTTAAAATTAGTTTTTCCTAATTTATTTTATTAATAATAGTTAATTTGAGGTATATAAGTATTTTTTATTTTAATAACATTATTATTCTAAATAAATAAAATAAAGCAAAAGGTCAGACAGAGTAAACCAGATGAGAAAATTTAAACACCTGTAGGCCCGCGGGCTACAAGAAAAGGAGCAGACGCACGGAAGAAAGAGAACACGATTTAAGGAAAGAAAAGATTTCCATATTAGAATATAAAAGTAATTAATCGTTGGTGTGGGATTAGTTTAAATACCTCGTCCTTTTGGAATTATTTTTAGAACAAGACGACACATGTGTACTTTCGCCTTATTTTTATGTTAACCTGACCTGAGACATGCATTGATTCTTAAGTTTTTTATATGTTATTTAAGACCATTGGCGTTATATAGAGTTCATCATGTATTATTATTGTCGTGTAATAAAAAAATAATTATAATAGAACCCCTTCCTTCCCAGTTACCACCTCTTTTTCAACATATTAACAATAATTTTTAAGACTAATTAACAATAAAAATAAATAAAAGAATTTGAAATAACATTTTAGTTATATCTTTTTTAACTAGTCCATTGTTTTTCTCACTTCTCATTGGTTTTCTCATTGGTTCTTCATGATTGGAGATTTTATTTATGACCAATCGTTGTCTGAATCCTATTTCCAACGACATAATACACGATTGGGATTTTTTTGTATTCATCTAAAAGCTACTGATTAATAGCGGTCCGACTAACTAAGGGCAAAGAAAAATAGCGGTCTGACTAACTAAGGGCTCTTTTGTTTTAATGGATAGAACGGAATAAAGGACTTTATACTTATACTTAAATCATATGTTTGTTAATTATGATTACAATCCGCATCATCAGAGGCGGCTTGGGTCTAGAGTTGATTATATTGTCTATAGGATGACCTATCAGTCGCATGGCCTTGGTCTGATGAAAGTAGTCTAGACATTACTATTGGAACGAAATGCCGTTTTTGTCCCTCAATTATAAAAGCGTCACAAATATGTTAGATTTTAGCAATGTTTAATAAGTTATTAATTTTGGTTCACATTTTGTTTTAGAACAAGTAAAATTGGTTCACGTACTTGAACTTATATTTTAGTTTTACATAGATAGAATCGTTATTTCATTATTTCATCATTGATAAGTACACTCACGCATGGAATGTCACAGATATCGTTTAGATTGTTTTTTCTCCATTTTAAATTCTAAATCTTGCCTTTTTACATAGGTTATACAAAGGGCGATATTAGTTCAAATAAAAGTTTATTTTATTTTAATGTTTATAAAAATTTTCTTTTATTATAATGGTTACACAGTTTTCATTTATATTATTTTATATTGTTTAATAAGTTATTAATTTGTCATACCTATTTTTTTTATCTGAAATGTATACATCACGTATATTTTATTTTTATTCAAAATATTAAGTAACATAGTATACATCATGGATATTTTATTTTTCTTCAAAACACAAGCGACATATTTGTTACATAGACCACCAGTTTATTTCTCTTTTCATATCCCATAATGTCGATTAGTTGCACGCTTAAAAAAACTTGAGATTTAGTCTTGCCACCGACAAATGTAGGTAATTTTTACCGGCTAGTCTACGTGGCATTTTTACATGATTTATTTATTTATTTTTTTCTGAGTTGTAAGGCTGTGTGGCATAATTCCAAAAAATTATATTATAAAAAAAAATTATATTTAAAAACCTATGTGAATAATAAGTATAAATATAAAAATTATATTGTATAATTAATTAAGATGAATTTATTTTTCTATAAAATATCCAAATCAAAAGATTTAAGTAGTTGAGTTAAAACAACTAGTCATGAGATTTTTTATGCAAAAAAAATTGAGACTCTTTATCATGCTAAAAAAATGAACAGTGCATTTCACACAAAAATTATTTGAAATGTCATAATAATAAATGATTTAAATCGAGACCCAATAATTATACAAAACAAAAATGACCAGAGCTTTTTCTACCAAAAAAATATCGATACACGCATATTATATCAAAATATCAGTTCATATTATTTTGTCAGAGTTACGGTAATTTTATTATGTTAATTTTATATGAAAAATTGAAATAAAAATTGAAACCCACACCTAAAAACCAATATATTAGCCTGCGGATTACACAAAAAAGTACACCGTATATTGTTTAATTTTTCAACAAATTTCTTAAAAAACAAATCAGTTATCAAATAACCTAAATAAATTTGTTCACTTCATACTATATATTGATTAATTTATTTCCTATAGAAACAACCATCAATACCAAAAATAATTTTGTCCACTATATACCATATATTAATTAATTCACGTAATTTGAGTAATTAAGGTATCTTAAAATATGGTTTAATTACTTCCTTAAATAATGAGCCGCAATATGTGATCATTTGAATTATACCATAAATTGTTAAATTAATTTCTTGAAATAGTAAATAATTCTTTTGGAAGAAAATAGTTACTATTTAAAAAATCATCAAATCTTTATATATATATATATATTATAAGCATATAAAGTGTTTTTTCATTCATTCATTTTTTAGGGTAAAATATTTTTGCAAACTTGCCTATTATATGTTTTGCAACCTACAATATTTTTTTAGGTAAAATACAAAATATTCATAATTTACAATTTTGCTTACATCTTAATTCTACATATATGTGTTTTTGCATGTAATTGTATGATGAAAATATTCGAAACGTTATTACTCATGAATTTCATAAAATTTAAGTTGCATTATATACAAAAATATCAAATATTATAAAATCGAAAAGCACACATATATAATTCAGATTGTAAAATTATCTTTTACCCTTTTTCTCTTTATGCTATTGTCACGTTTTGGGTGGCTAACTTTATCCACATTATATTAGATTATGGTTATTATATTATGAAAGTGTATACAAAAATTTCACTCAAAATTTCATTCAACTCAAACTTAAACTCAACTTCATTATTCTCAATATAATTAAATAATATCATCCAATCACTTTTACAAATCACATCTACTTTAATTCACTATTCATCAACCCACATAATTTTAACTAACCATCACTTCATATCATTTCTCTCTTACTTTTATATCAAACCAACTTTACTTATTTTATTTTAAATATTATTTTATATAAATTCAAAATCCACTAACAACTAGCTATACAACCTTTTTTCAAATTAACTATAGTCAACCAAAAAAATCCACTTTGAGTGAAACTCTTTGTATACAAACATTAGATTCCATTAGAATAACATAAAATATTTTAAGATTTGTAATATTAAAGTTTACTACAATGTCATTCATTTGGTCATCAAAAGTTCCAATTTACATATTAACTAGTGTGTAGCCCGTGCGATGCACGGGTAAATAATATTAAATAATAATTATGAATTAACGATGACAGTAAATAATATAAATTAATAATTATAAATTAAATATGAGGGTAAAAAATATTAACTAATAATTGTAATTAAGATGTGGAGTTAATATGTGATATAATTTATCGTATATCAGCTGTAAACAATATAAATTTATCTTGTATAAAATAATATAAAAAATATATGTTTAAAATATTAAAAACACCTAAAATATTATATAATGTATGTAAAGTATCTTTTCCGCAACGACAGAAATATATAGCACAAAATATACAAATGTACAAATCGACAAGCGAACTGGCTAATACAAGGCAAAAGGAGAACCGCACCCCTCGGCGGCCTAAATAACTAGCAAAATGAACACCAAAGGGCAGTGCACAGACTGGAACCCTTTGGGGCGAGATCAATAACAAAATAATAACAGAAAATAATCAGCAGCATCCCGGAGGTTGAAGGCAAAGACCACTGAACCACCGGACCTAGACTTCATCTTCAACCACCGGACCTAAATATTTATGTTAGTTTAGGTAAACGTGCAAATAAGTTTTTAATTTAGTATTTTTATAATTATTCAGCAATTAGTTAAGGGTAATTATTATTTTAGTACTTGTACTATGGGGTAATTGTGATTTTGGTACTTATTCTTTATTTATTGCAAAAATACAATCTGACCTTTACGTTTTTGCAAATTTGGTATCTAGTATTGACGTCGGTTTGCATGACTTTACGTTTCGGGCTCGTTCGAACTCGGAATTGAGTTCTGTTTTTTTCTACGCATCGCCAACGAACCCCTCTATTCAATGATGCTTTTATGACCAAATTATTCTTGAAATACTATTCTCCCAAAGCTTATGACCAGCACACCAAAGACGTGCTTCGCGCGACTTCGCGTTTTGGGCCCGTTCGAGCTCGTCCAAACATAGAATTGAGTTTTGCTTTTTTCTACATGTCGCCAACGAACCCTTCTACTCAACCATGGTTGTCCGGTCAATTTTCGGGCCAAATTTATTCCTCACGGAGCTTCCAACCTGCACACTAAAAACAAGAAGAAAAATAAAAAAAACACACGACACAATAAACTACAAAAACGAATAAAACCCAACGAAAAGTTCTAAAACAGGGAAAAAATAGTGACAAAACAATAGGAAAAATTGTAAAAATATAGAACAAACACTTGCCAAAACTCCATCACTAATAGTTTTTAATTTTTTGTCAATTCAAACGTTAAGCTTTTTAGAGAATTTGAACTAGTAGTGATGGAGTTTTTGCAAGTGTTTATTCTATTTTTTTTACATTTTTCTTTTTTTTTTCACTATTTTCCCCCGTTTTAGGACTTTTCGTTAGGTTTTATTCGTTTTTGTAGTTTATTGTGTTGTGTGTTTTTTTTGTTTTTCTTCTTGTTTTTAGTGTGCAGGTTGGAAGCCCCGTGAGGAATAAATTTGACCCAAAAATTGACCGAGAAACCATGGTTGAGTAGAAGGGTTCGTTGGCGACATGTAGAAAAAAGCGGAACTCAATTCCAAGTTTGGACGAGCTCGAACGGGCCCAAAACGCGAAGTCGCGCGAAACACGTCTTTGGTGTGCTGATCATAAGCTTTGGGAGAATAGTATTTCAAGAATAATTTGGTCATACAAGCATCATTGAATAGAGGGGTTCGTTGGCGACGCGTAGAAAAAAACGAAACTCAATTCCGAGTTCGAACGAGCCCAAACGAGTCCGAAACGTAAAGTCATGCAAACCGACGTCAATACTAGGTATCAAATTCACAAAAACATAAAGATCAGGTGGTATTTTCGCAATAAATAAAGAATAGATATCAAAATTACAATTACCCATAGTACATGTACTAAAATAATAATTACCCATTAGTTAATTAAGTATGTACTGTGTACATGTAAATTAGCGAGAAATGGCGGCCCAATGGGCTGATAATAAAGTAAGCCGCCATGGAAACCCAAAGGCAAACAATATCTCCCAAAACCTCCGAACGCTACGCTTCAAAGGAGAACCGATCGTCATCGAAAACAAAGGCGGGGAAGAAGAAAGGATGGTTGAAGAAACTGAGATATCAGCCACCGCTATGAAAGAGGAAGCAGAGGAGTTAACATCAATGACCAAGAACCACCGCAACCCCACCGGGGATGAGTCAGACGCGGAGGAAGGGGAGATCGTCGGCGGCGATCCAGAAGATCCGTCGAAGGCCGCGGTGGCGGCGCCCATTCCGAAGCACCCCTTGGAGCATTCGTGGACGTTCTGGTTCGACAATCCGTCAGCTAAATCTAAGCAGGCAACGTGGGGAAGCGCAATCCGAGCTATCTATACCTTCTCCACTGTTGAAGACTTCTGGGGGTATTTGTAATTTTATTTATTTATTTATTTATTTTTTGTTTGTGATCATATTTCATTTGGATTGTACGGGTAGTTGATTGGGGATCTCGATATTTCATATTGGGGTCCTTTCTGTGTGTTGGCTATGTTGCTATAGATTCGTGTTTAGTGGGCTTTATATTTCTGTGATTCACTTTCATGTTTGTGATCTTAGAGACAATTATGATGTTGGCTCATTTAATTCTCATTTTGGTGCATTTGACTGAGTAGCCTATAGTTCTATAGTTCTTGTTCTGGTGCTACCGGCTTAAGTTATGGATTGTGCATTGGGACTGTAATGTTCGTGTCTTTAGCTATTTTATCCTTATGCCTTCTGTTGTGTTGAGATCTTATTGAGCTTATGTTCCAACCAATTGTATAATCTTTATGGACATAAGGCTGGCCTGTGTTTTGTGTTTGATTTTGTTGGACAATTCCATGGTTTTCGAGAAGCTCTATATGTTTTTTTGTGGATTACACTTCATTGATGTTGTTTTTGTTTTGGCTTGCAGTGTTTACAACAATATACACCACCCCAGCAAGCTGGGAGTTGGAGCAGATTTTCACTGTTTCAAGAATAAAATAGAACCAAAATGGGAAGATCCTGTCTGTGCCAATGGAGGTAAGTGGACCGTGACTTTGCCGAAGGGTAAATCTGACACTTGTTGGCTCTATACGGTATGTTTCTATTCTTTTTTCTCTTTTCTTTTTTATTTATTTTTTGTAATATTGTCTTTTCATTGAAATATTCAGTCAGCCACTAATTTTCTTTTGGATCTTGTTCAGTTACTGGCAATGATTGGAGAACAATTTGATCATGGTGATGAAATTTGCGGGGCAGTTGTCAATGTGCGATCAAGGCAAGAGAAAATTTCTATTTGGACAAAGAATGCTGCAAATGAAGCTGCGCAGGTTTGTTTCGTTATGCATAGGGGAGTTGTATTACAATTTCCACGGTTGTTGATGGTGTTTTGTTCGCTCTGCAAGTTCCATTTTTACAAATTTCCTTACTTTCCTATCTATTTATGTATATTTTTATATATTCAAGATAGGTGGAGTTTACTAATTGACTAGGGACTTAAAAATCAAGGTGCAACTGCAATCTTGCATCTGGTGTTATTCAGTGTCTGAGAGGTTTTAATTTCACTATCACTATCTCACTAAATGTATCAATGTTACAATGCATAAAAGGAAGAAGTTGGGTTATGTTGCTCTTCCTGCATTGCATGCATATCAGGATAGATGAATAGACAATCATCTGATCATTGAATTCTGGAAAATTCATGATATTATAATTTGGCATAGCATCATAGAATCAATCCTGTTTGAATGTGGGTATTGTTGAAAGTTCTCTACGAAAGATGTAATAAGGCGATTGAGACCTAACAGCTAATACTACGAAAATTTATGAATGCAGTAGTTTGTTTTTCTTAGTACCCATAGAGATTGTATGCTTGCATTTTGTACCTTCCCTTGTCCATTTGGAAAAATCATGCTTCTTGTTGGGTTAGTTAATTAATTCAATCTGAATTTTTCAGCTAAGCATTGGAAAACAATGGAAGGAGTTTCTGGATTATAACGAAACAATCGGTTTCATATTCCATGTAAGTTTCCCCCCTTCTACTTGAGTTAGATCTTCATCTTTCGTTTTTTACTTCTTTTTATATATATATATATATATATATATATATTTATGAGTTGCCGTGACTTATGTAGGATGATGCTAAGAAGGACAGGAATGCCAAGAACCGTTATACTGTGTAGGTCCAGGTGCTCAGGTGTGTCCCGGTTGAAATGTCATGGACCCACTTTTTCCTTTAGATAGTAACTGATGAAATTTAGTACCACCGAACCAGATGTTTAATTCTCTTTTTATCTAGTCTTTTGAAGATCTGTGTTTAATTGTATGGAACTAAACATGATGGAGTCTAGTTGGCGTCGTTATAAATTTGAAGCATTGTTTTGCCCTTGTAAAACCCAACTGCCTCTATCTTTACTTTGACTGCGTTTGTTTAATGGTGTTTTGGCTTTAAAAGAGCTTTTTAAGCTATTTAGTATATATCTGTTTGACCATACACAATCAGCTAAAAACAACGTTTGGTAAAGAGCTTTGTAACCGATGTTTTTGGCCCAATCCGCCAAAATGAAAAATGTTGCTTTTTGTAGTGTTTTGGTTTAGCAGTTCAATATAATAAAATTAAAAGTCTTAATTGTCCCTACTCATTATTATAAATGAAAACTCTCTATACATCTCACAATTTTAGGAAGAAAAAAAATAATAAAAAAATATACTGTTTTATTCAAACTCATATAAATAATATTTAGTCTCACTCGGGAAAAAAAAATCAAAATCGTGAAATTTTTTTATTCAAATCCATGTAAATAATATTTAGTTTATTGATGTAATATAGGAAATATATTTAATTATATAAATTTCATTTCAATTATTATTTAGTATAACTTAACAAGTAATTTTACCAACTATTTTTCTAAAATTTAAACATATATAGACAACTACTTAGATGTACTATCATATATCTTAGTTCATCACATAATCTCCTAAAAGGCTACAACAATATCCCAAAATTGTAAAAACATTCAAACAATTTGAGAAATCTAGTCATCTAGACTGCGTCGAAAGACGAACTCAAAATATGAAGTACGTTTACATGGACAAGCAAACAAACCTTTCGTGTAGAACTCAATAGTGATACGGTCCCTTCATTTTTTTTTTTAACGAAACGATAGAGATATTATATAAAACGCACAAATGTGCAAAGAGCAGCCACCAGCTGATTACAAAACAGCCAACAACCGAGTACAAACAGCCAATAGCTAAAAAGTGGGAGGACAAGACAAAAGCCCGCCTAGAACCGACCCCAACGGGGTAAAACTCAAGAACACTAAAAAACACAAAAAAACAACAACAACACAAAGGCCCCAACATGGTAATATCGAGTGTCGAGCCCCAACAGGGTAATAAAGGTGACACTCAGACGCACAGAGGCCAACGGCCCAAACTTAAAACACAAAAACAACACGGACACAGATACAGAAAAACACATAACAAAAACAACACATAAACTAAAATAAAGAACAGCCCTTCCCCAACAAACGAGCAGACCCAACCAACAGTGAGCAATCGACACAAGAGAGAGACCCAGCCCGAGAACCCACTACCGAAACTGCGCAACCGCCTATACAGTAGCCGACTCCGAGCCTCGAACCCTATCCCGAATCGACCCACCTCCAACCGAGATAAACCGACCCACCCAACCCCACCCGCCCTCCCGAACCCGTCTAACACCACTAACCGGCTCGGGAGTGCTGGACCCCCCTCTATCCCCAACACTAGAGAACCGAGGGATGAGAGCGGCCTGGTTCCCAACTCCGATCTCCCCGACGCGAACCGCCGCAGCTACCGGAGCCCCAGCCCACCAGCTGAAAACGCACTTCACCCGACAACACGGCTGATCTTCGACGACCAAAGACCGGAAGTCCCACCGGAAAAAGCGGAGCCGACTGGAAAGCCCCAATCTCAGCCAAGCTACAGATCGGGGCCAAACCACCAAACCCAAAAGGACACACCTGCAACTGAGGGGAGACCGCCCATGACAGACCCATCGGAGACCCACCGTGACCGAGAATCACCCAAACACCAGTCGCAAGCCCGCCGGCGATTGAGGGCAGAGCTATAGTCAAAGACCGAACAGCAGCATCTGAGGCTCGCGGTTTCAGGGTTGGGCCGAGCGGTTAGAGGCGACTGCTGACCGGAATCACGCCGTCGCCGAGGAAAGTTGGACCGGATTTGGGGCTAGGGTTATCGCCAGAGAGAAGAGGAAAAGTTCAACATTGTCAAAAAAGTTTCAAAGTTGCATAAACATTCAAACAATTTGAAAATCTAGTGAAAAAATCATGTAGAGAGATGTATTCAGGTCGAGATTGTAGTGATTTTTTAGATCTGAAGGGAGAATTTTCTGCCGGTGGTCGAGGGTTTTCGGTTGAAGAGGAATTTAGGGATTTAAATTTTTGCAGAGATGAATTCTGAAGGAAGCTTTTTTTTTTTGGACTAAAAAACGTGTGCCACGTCAATTAAATTGCCGGATATGTAGGTACTGGTCGATTGAAGACCGGGTCAATGCTTCATTTTGCAAAAGAACAAAAGGTTGGGTTCCGAAATACCAAGGTTCCAAAGTCGTGACAGAAGTACAAAAGTCGGTAAGGTCGTGATGTCAGATGCAAAATTCTGATTAAATCATCTCGCTTTGCATGATGGATAACCTAATCTAGGCCCATATTCCACCATTTGCATCACGTTGTAGCGCTTGTTATAATTTTTATATGCACCTCAAAATCTTTGTTTTGAGGATACTCGGGACTTCATATTTAATTTTGTAATACGTCTTTATTCCTTAAAAGTTTGTTTCATTATTCCAGAATTCCAGTGTTATTATGACGAAACATAAAAAATATATATAAAAAAAAAAAAACACCAATTCCCTCCTTATCATGATCAACTTCCTGCTTTTATTTATTTGATGATATATTTGTGCTATATGATTTTGACAACACAGACTGTGTTGCTTCTGTAACTTACATTGCTTGCAATACAGAGTTAAATTGTGATGACTTCAGTTGTATTATATGCACCATCCTAATTTTTTTTTTTTTTAATCAAGAACTCTGTAAATCACTTAAAAGCCTATGTAAATCTATTTGATCCCCCAATATCAACCTTCATATGCTGCTCATTGAACCATAAATAAACTTAAGCAATCGAAACAGCCATCGGACTCCGGACAAAATGAACACCGTCCGACCATGCGTACGATCCGAACAAATACGCGCCCTTCTCAATCCACCCCGTGTACTCCACCTCTGTTTTCAATGTGATGGTAAAACTCCTCTTTTCACCCTTGTGGTTAAAGTTCAATACAGGTGGCCATATTTTTACGGATACCCCGAGTGGAGGTATTACGCTGGCGAAGTACACGCTCTTCCCATTGCCCACATTTGTCACGGTTCTAGCGACAGTTACTGTGCCGTTCAACATTGGCACGGCCAGGGACGGGTAATTCAGATTTACCGGTGGCGGTAATTCTTCAGGGCACTTGAAGGAGGAGGAGGCAAGGCTTTTTACCCCGACACTGCATAGAAAGAGAAGATAGTCGTTGTAGGATGAGTCGTACACGAGCCCTGGGTCGGCTGCTTTTGTCGGTCGGAAATGACCCGACCCGAATTGGAATGGGTCGGCCGAGTTTCCGGATGCGTCGGTAATTGGACTCCCGACGTTATTAAGCAATCCCGCTACAAATGTGTAAGCAAATCAAATATATAATTAGGAAAAAAATACATTTAAGTCATGAAAAATTTTGTTAGGCCATGAAAATTTTGGCTGTTTGTAGTTATGTGTTTTTTTTTNCTGAAAAAAAAAAAAAGAAATTAATGAAAATGTGTTACCGGTGGTCATGAGAGCGGATCTTATGGCGGCGCCACTCCAGTCGGGGTGTAATTCTTTGAGAAGAGCTGATGCGCCACTTATATGTGGACATGACATTGATGTGCCAGACAGTATATTGTACTTGACGACTCGATTATCGCTTGCTAGTTTTGTTGGAGAAGAAGCTTCACTCCAGGCTGCTAATATGTTGAGCCCTGGGGCTGTAATATCCGGCTATACATTTGCAGAAAAAAAAGAAAAATAAAACGAGCATTCAGCATCGATATTATAGTGACTTCAGAAAAAAAACAGGGCAAATACCGACTATTTTTGTACCTTTAGAATATCGGGTGAAAGTGTGCTGGGGCCTCTGCTGGAGAAAGCGGCCATGAAAGGTGCGGGTTTAGTGTCCAAGATAGTCTTAGCTGGCACGATATGTGCCTTTGGTTGTTTTGTCGAGTCTATGTATTTAAGAATGTTGAGAGCGTTCTTGTAGTTAACGGCAGTTGCGGGAAGAATATGGGCGTCGGCTGCTAATTCATTTCCGTTGGCTTTGCTGTTTCCTAAGATGAAACCAATGCCACCGGCTCTTTTGACTTCCATGCCTTTGCCAACTCTCGTCCCGTTTCCTCTCAAACACATTACAATTTTTCCCTTTGCCTTTTTCGGAGAAAGGGATCCTGGCAAGCATTGCCTGTCCCAATTTCAAGCAAATGTATCAGTAGAGAGCAATTGAATTTTTTATTTTTATTTTTATTTATTTATTTGCAGTGGTTAACATAAGGCAAAATTGCAATTTTAGTTATGTTGGTTTGATCCAGTGGCGTTGTTTGTCTTAAGAATTGAATATTTTGCTATTTGATCCTATAATTTTAAAATTTATTGCAATTTCATTCTTTTGGGACGACTGAAATTGCAACAAAATTTATAATTAAAAAACTGAAATTGCTAATAAAAAATCCATCCAAAAGGACTGAAATTTTCAGTCCTGTAATTTTAAATTCTATTGCAATTGCAGTCTCAAAGGACTGAAATTGTAGCAAAATACTAAATTATAGGATCAAAAGACAAAAAGTTGAAATCTTGGGACTAAAAATGCTATAAGTTGAAATATTGGGACTAAAAAAGCTATGGTGTTAAAAATGCAATTTTTCCTTAACCCCTAATATTAAGGAGAAGATGAAAATGAAGGAAAGAGACTTAACCCGAGTAAGTCTTGAGATACATTGGGGTTGGTTACGTGACCCGCGAAAACCAATGGGTAGAGCTTGTTTTCCATCTTATACGGCGTCACCGTCTGACCCTGCGAGACGANGGCCCGCGCGGGCCCCTGGTTCCCGGCGCTGCACACCACCACGATGCCTTCTCGGGCGGCGTGCAGTGCCCCGATGGCAATTCCGTCCTTGTCGAAGGGCATGGGTTCTGAGGTCCCGATGGATATGCTCATGACGTGGACCCCGTCTGCGATGGCATCGTCCATGGCCGCGAGCATGTCCTCCTCGAAGCACGTGTTGCCGTCCTCCTTGCCCTTGCCCGGGATTGCCCAGCACACCTTGTAGATGGCGAGGCGGGCAAGGGGGGCCCCGCCGGAGGCCGTCCCGGACGCGAAGCCTCCCAGGGCCGAGACGCCATCGGCCCTGCGGCCGGCGGCCGTGGAGGCGGTGTGGGTCCCGTGGCCGTCCCTGTCGCGGGGGGAGAGGTAGTCGAGGGTCCGGTTGAGGGGGCCGTAGAAGGCTTCGTAGCCCTTGATGTAGTATCGGGCGCCGATGATTTTTCTGCGGTCGAGGGAAAACGGGATAGTGTGACTCGAGAAAGAAAGAAAGAAAGAAAGAAGAATGTTTTTTGATCAAACAGTAGCATTTTATAAAACTCGAAATATAGCGTACGTTCGAGATGTCAACTGATATCACATAAGACCAATTTAAAGTCTAAAGTTAACTTGGACTCATTTCTCATTAGGATTGGGAACAACTACCTAGCTATTACCAAAGCACTCCCATTAAGTGTTAAGGGAGACGACGAAATTCCAAACACTTAGATGGGACTTTCGAAAAAACACAAAGGAGAATAGAAAACAAAACGCTAGATGCAAATGCAAGATATTTTTATGTGTGGAGTCATTTCATATGCATGATGAAAATTTGAAAAAAATAGCAATTTTTGCGTTAATGACATGTCTCATCGTCTTGGCACAAAAGCAGCTGTTTTTCATTTTTTCATTTAAGAAATGACTGAAAAACCAATCCGTCGATATCTTAATGTTGTTCGACTTGTTTTAAAGTTGGGTGAATGTTATATGTACAAATGATGGTCAACAAAGTTAAAGGGGCTCCTCTTAAGAAACTATACTAGATTATCTCATGTGTACAAAATTAATGGCATAATGCAACAAAATTTCTTGTATGGGACAGTTTAATCATTATCCCACATAAAAAATGGTGTACTAAACTACTAATTCACGGGCTAATATTGGTGAGGTCTATTACAGTGAAATTCCAGAAAGCAGTGGAAAAAGAATTAGTCTTAGCAAGGTCACAGGATTAAAAATTCACGGGCAATAACTATATATGTGACAGCATATTTGCTTGTCTGATTGAAACAAACAAACGTTGGAATTCATCAAAACAACAAATTAAGACAAATAATTCAGCATGTAACGACACCAAAGTGGGACAACAAATGCTGGGCCAATTGACCACTTATTAGTATTCCTCTAGCTGCCTAATAGTATCTATCTCTTCTGGAATATTTGTGTGTCCCCAGTTAAAATCCATACAAATAATGGAGATGAATATTCACTAATGGAAAAGAAATTATACACTTTTTTCGAAAGATGAATATTCTGTAATTTATTATTTATTTATTTTTTTTCATATTTGTTCTAAAATACTAATTGAAAAGGTCGATTCTATACAAAAATTCTATAGAGCCAACGGCTGGACTGAAGATATTATTGACTTACCTATTACAATGTGACAAGTGGAAAGCATCGCCAGCTTGGCAAGTCCCTTTCCAAGATTTCGGTACGTGACCCATGTCTTTATCGTTGAAGCTTTGAGACTCGGGCCACACACCTATATATATCGAGCATGGAATTTAGTGTCCAAAAGGAATTGAGATTCGTGTTCTACTATCAATATTATTCAAACATATCATCACATAATTTTTCTCATCACTCATTTATTGAGGTGAAATTAAAACCAATATAAACCCGGGATTCTTGAAATTCATGCTAAGTTCAACTAGCCCTTAATTATGACTTTGATTTAATACAAATTTCACATGCAGAATAATTTAAAAAAGAAAGAAAGAAAAAAAAAAAAAAATTCTCACTGACAAACATCCATAAGAAAATCCCAGCATGGGCCATGAAATTTTTCCGGACAATATACTATCACATGCAAGTATGTGACATTAAGAGAAATGCTATAGTTACATAATAATGTACATATATGTGTACATAACACTCACATGGAGTGGGGTCCACTAAATGTGGTAAGCATATAAACTAGCTTATAGCTTATTTGATTAGCAAGCTTATAAGCTTCCTGGTTCATGTGTTCAAATAAATTTGGTTTGACAATACAAGTTTTTTCTTTTAAAAAAAAATTAAAGCTTATCTCATAAGCTTCATTGAGTAGCTTTTCAAATAAGTCAACTGAAAATTTTATTTTAGCTAATTTTATCAACAATTTTAACATATAAACTAGCTTTTAAGCCATAAGTCATAAACTATCAACTATAAACTCGAAATTTACTTAAAAGCTATAAGCTACTAAGTTTACCAAACATAGCACATCGACTTATTAAGAAAACAAATTACCACTGTCCAACATGCCGATAATAACATTCTTGCCGTATCTGGATTTCAATAACATGTAATCATCCTTGTCTAATTCGTTCACTTTCTTCGACTCTTGTAAGCCCGAAAATTCCCACGATCTCGTCGTGTGCATCGAATACTTTTCCGGATGGCTCCGGAACACGGACACCACTTCATCCCTTTCTGTTAAAAAATCCAAACAAGCACATGCTCATTAAGACACACNAAAAAAAAAAAAAAAAAAAAAAAAAAAAAAAAAAACAGAGAAAAAAAAAAAGAAAGAGTTCATTTTTGTCTCACCTGAAAGCTTCGAAGCCTCTTGTGGGGTAAGAAAGGCTGCGAAGCCATTAATGCTGTGTTTGTAACTGTAAAGAAGAGAAGATTTTGCATCTTCCTCTGTTTCCTTCACAGAGGAAAGATATGAATGATGGTTGTCTTCTATTTCTTGTCTTGTTTTCTCTCCACTATGCTCTCCAAAGTAGACTATATATACCTGTAAATGGATATTATGTTTTAGGATGTATTTTCTTCATAATGTTTGTTGTAATAATTAATCGAAAATGCAGTTGAAAAACAAAAAGGAATATAAAGTTTATACCTGTTTCTCCTCTGTAGCTAAAACCAGTAAAGGAAGGATAAGAAGAAAGAAGAGAAAACTGGATTGCTTAAAATTCTCCATTGGTGAGGAACGAATGAGGATGGTGTGGTGTGCAGGATATTGAGTTGATATGGCTGACTATTTATAGAGATTTTTTAATTAAATCTTTATTGTGTGATGAGTGTTTATAAAGTATTCTGCTTTATGGTGATTTGGACTCAATTGGATTCCTGTGGACCGAAAAAGTAGTGTTTATAATTTGCAAGATTTATTTATTTATTGGGGTACTGATAAATGAGGAGGTAATAATTGGTGGAAATGATAGTCTGACAACTTTTCTAAATTTTAAAATTACAATTTTTTGTGTAGGCCATTTAATCGAAGGATTCATTATATTATTTGAATAAAAATATAATTATAATATCAGTGTCACACTGTATTTATATATTTTTTTTAAATATGACATTTGATTGAAAAAAGAAAAAAGTGTGCACATTTTTAGAAAACAAAATGTTGTTCTAGTTGATAGATGATTTTATCAACGTATAGTTAGATTTGATAAGTCATAAGTGGATTCGATTACAACAAACATTTTGGAGCGTTTTGGATTAGCTTATTTGAGTCAATCAGTTCAAATATTTTGTTCCATTGCTTATCCGTATAATTTGGTGTGTTAATATGCCTTTATTCCTTTTTTTTTAAGCCGTGAAAACAAAGAGTTGTGTACTAATATGCTATATTAATATAATATTAAAAAACACTAATACTGTGCATAATTTATGGTCAATAATGAGTAGTTTGTTACATAAGTCAATAGTCTAATTTTGCTACTTATAGAAAGAAAATCTAAATTTAATTAATGTACAAACTACCATTTATCTTTATGTTATTTTATTTCCTATTTTCAAAATCCAAATATTAAAATTATGTATATTATTGCAATTAATATAAAAATTGATATGCAAATTAAATAGTTTATATTATACCATTCATTTTTACTAACGATAAAATTTTTAAAATGTGATATGCTCATTATCCAATTTATGATTTTAAATATTACATACACACATATAACATATAACTTTTATCTTGTGTTTTTGCTAAATATAAATGATTAATATTAATCATTTACCAAACACAATTTTTATGTAATATAATATTAATTATTAAACACAATTCTTAAAGTACTAATTTTTATGTAAATATAAATAATTAATTAGTAAACAACTGAGTTTACCAAACACAATTTTACAAACCGCTAATGCAACCCGCCGGTCAAAAGATCTAATACAATCCGCTGGTAAAAACAGCAAATACAAGTTCATGTAGTCCTACATGTTTTAGTTGATACATGGAAGTTTCTTCTTTTGTAGAGAAGTTTGAATATTTAGACTTCATTTTGTTGCTTAACAATAATTCCCTCTTAATTCTATTTATCTTGTTCAACCAGATTTTACATTATAGAGATTTTTTTTTTTTTTAACGNCACCAGTCTAACACCAGGCAGCAAAACAGAAGAGACTCAGCCTACAATCCAAACACACACAGGTCGAGAAACTCCTCCTAAGACTGACTCATCCTTTTGCTTTTCTCTTGGTGTTTCTATATATTTTCGTTCGATTTGTGCAAAATCACACCTAATTGAAATTCAAAAACCAAGCTCATAAAAAAAATAATCGAACCATATTGCAACACATAAAAAAAAAACTGAAAGCTTTTTACACTAAAAGAGTCGTATTGAACTCCATCGAATTGGACATTGGCTTTTGGTTTTGTTCACACCTATTCTTGTGCAAACCTATTAGTTACTCCCGAAATTCTTCACTAAATAAAGTGTTATTAGAAAAATAACTTTGTAAGACCAATAATGTTGCTACATGTTAATGTGGCGGTTTGTTTGTTTTGCATGAGTGATTTATGCAAGTTGTGAGAAACTGGACAAATGAAATATGGAGAAATCAGTAAAACAAAAGATCCTACAATCTTAGGTCAGATATTAGTTATGTTTTGGCCCATGACAATTTTATGAATACATGAGAAAAACAGCATCAAATTGATAGGAGAAAAAAAAAAGAAAAAAAAGGGGAAAAAAGAAAAATACATTGGAAAGTGAAATCAGGTCTGCCACCAATGTCTCAAGTTCTTTTGTTGATCGAAGATTATAAATTAAAGGCAGATGTGATTACTTTTGGATAATATAAATTTAATTTATTTCTCCATTCTAACTCTCAAATTTCTTCACTAATATTATTTTTATTTATGTTTGGAGAAAATTTATTGTACAATAATGTCACGTATTATATAATTTATAAGTAGGTTGAACTTTGAAGCAAGTTGAATTAGAGAGGGCCTAAATTCTAATGATAGTGAAAGATGGAGGACCTTATTCCAAAGGCGTGCTTTAAGGAAAATCCTCATGATTCTTCGTTTTCTACATTTTCTTATCCTAATTTTTTGGCATCTTGCTATTATCTACAATTCTACATATCTTTAACATTGTATCTATGTCAACTCTCAACTTTCTAGCTTTGAGAAAAAAAAAGCTATACGTAAAAGGTGCAGGTCATATTCATATAATTAACTCTATAGAAAAAAGAAAAAAATGCCCAAAATGTTACAAACTCCAAAAAATCACTAGACATACTAAACAGTTGTTCGCCCAAAATCTATATCTATAGTAATATAAAGAGGTTGTTGGAAAAATACAAAATTAGTAAGGTTGACCTAAAAAATAATGTTTTGACTTACTTATTTAAGTAATAAGCAAAGGGACCAACACATTCATGATATTTTAATATAAAAAATAATTGGAGAATTCACTTAATGTAATTAAGAAATCATTCAAATTTTGTGGGATTTTGTTTTGTTCACAATTTTCATACTCGAAAATTAAGTATAGGATTTTGTTTTAAATCACCTCAATATTGGATACCACAATTATTTCGGATGTGGTTAACAAATGATATAGAAATTTGTGGGATTTTGTTTGTTAACTATATTTCTAGGATTTTGGTAACCAATCTTTAAGCAGATTTTTGTAACCAATTGTTTAGCCATTATTTCTATTTTTTTGGGAAACATCTTTGATAATTGATAATATGTTCAGATTTTTTTGCCTTTTTTTAACAAATTTAACAACTTAGGCGGGATTTTTTAACAACGTTAACAATTATTAAGCTAATTAACTAAATCTAATTTATTAACTCCTAATTAAGTAAGAAGATAATTAAATATTAAAAAGGAAAAGAAAAAGAAGAGATAATTATGTTGAACCGAATAGAATCGGTCATCTCTTCCCAAATCTCCTCCCCGAATTTCAGCAGGTCCATCGGGATTTTTTTGCAGCCAATCTTTCTCCTTTAAAATCCTCAGTCAGCCCTAAGATCTCCCTCCGTATCTCACCCTCAATTTCACTTGCAAAAATCCTCGAATTTTCCTTCAATTTTTTCTTTCGGCGAGACAAACATGGCAAACGCATCGTCCGGCCACAAGCAACGAGCCTCGAATTTCGACGGCCAGAGCAACCCTAGGTCGCGAGCCCCAAATCCTCTCTTTGTTCCAGCGTTGCGTCGTCCGTCAAACTCATTGGCATTTTGAGACATCCCGGCGAGTTCGAGCTCACATCTGACTTCCGGTGACCCTCCTCTGCATCCGACCTCGAGCCGCGACCGGCGACCTTCACAGCACCACAGAGTCGACCGACCTCAAAATGCGTTCGACTGCGTACATAGAGGAGAGCCTTTTTCAACAATCAACCAAGCCGAGACAAGGGCACTCCGGTGACCGAGCAACATTTTTCTTCCGGTGTTTGTGTTCCTTTTTTTCTGACACAAGGTATATTGGCTAACCCGACTCTTGAGTTTGATTGGTGTTGGAATTTGGTTGGGATAGTTTGATAGTAACAGTCGGGCCTCTTATATTTTCAAGTATCGAACCTCTGCAGTTGGCATATTTTCAAAAAACATTTGTGAAGCTTGAACCTTTTTGGGCTAAACGACCCTCATCAGAGCAAACCAGTAGTCCAGCTTGCATAGAAAGCATCGCAGCCTGCCCATGCCATCGCTGGTGTGTTGTCGCAGGCGTGGCACAACTCAAATATGCGCTCGCGGTTGTCGTAAACGCAACCTATCTGGTCCATTTGCTGTTGAATCCATTACAAGTAATAAAGGGAAAGCAAAGGTCGAGGGTGATGGAAATTTGATTGAGGACCAAAACGAAGGATGTGATGACAGTGGAGTTTAAGATATATATTCTATTAGTTAATATTGTATAGGTTTAATCAATTTATTTAGTTAGATTTGATGAACAATTTATATTTCTTAGGATTTAATTTAGGGGTTGAGTTTGGTTAATGTTTTTCAGTCGTTCAATATTTTCTTAGCAACCTCTAGGTAACATATAGTTGCCGAGGTTTTTGCTTCAATATATAAATAAGTTGGTTGATTTTATCTATTGTTCTATTAGTTTGGATTGAGTTGTTCGTATTAATATATCACACCAAAACTATAAATCTTGGAAAACCCGACAATTGGGTTATTCGAAATGCACGTTCTAATCACACTCTTTTGTGAGCAATCAAATCGGTTTTCACGATTTTTCAGATTATTACTTAAATTTGTGGTTTTCAATAATATATTATTATATTGATCCAATTGGAAGTTTACATAAATAAAAATGTCATTTGATATCTATTTTATTTTTATATTTCATATAGATATATTTTATATTTTATTAATTCAAAGAATCCAGACTATCCAAAAATACTAATGGTTGTTACAAATATATATCTAGAATACAAGTAACTAATCTGGAAGTTTACATAAATAAATATATCATTTGATATCAATTTTATTTTTATATTTTATATAGTTATAGTTTATATTTTATTGATTTATAGAATCCAGACTATCCAAAATACTAATGGTTGTTACAAATATATATCTAGAATACAAGTAACTAACCGGATAAGGATTTGAAAAAAATATCCTACTGATAAATACTAATGATTTACTTGGAATATAATCAAACGAAAATGTCATTTAACATAATTTAGAATTTTAATCGCTTATTAGTGCAATGATATATCTAGCCAAATATTGCACCAAAATTTTTATAATTCTTCTACCATTGGGTTGTT